ACAACACCGCCTTTGTATCTGAAGGCCAGAGTAGTGGTTCCCTTATCCATATGGATGTCGATCTTCTTGGAAGAGTCGTTGTTGTCGTACAAGTGGTTCAAATCAAACGACTCGACGGCCGGCAGCGGAAGACTCGTGGCGTTGAATGCGGACAACTCTTGGACGGCGTCGACGGCCGCCACCGACCGGTCGTACGATCCGAACGACGGGTTCGGCGCTAAGCCTAACATCGATTGCAATGCCATTGGATCTGAAGGTGTAATCAGTGGTCAAACTATGGGATCAAATGATGACAAAGTGTTTCTCAAATGCAAGTGTCGTTCAAAACACTGGGCTTTCAATGAATTTGCAGTTTTTGAGTCAATACGTGTGCCATTCATAGACAACGTTACGACTGTTTGGTTCGGTTTGTTGTGAGTGTTGTTTACAAATGATATTTACGGCTAAAAAACACAGTTTTTTGGTTACGTTTAATAGAAAGTAATGATTACTTAATGAAACGATTGAAACGATTATTGCATTAGATTTTAATACAGTATTTAGTATTCAAATGATTGATATATTTTTACGTGTGATTTAAGTATTGGTTTCTTATATAAACATGTCTTGTATTGAATGGTAACTGAACTACGAGTCCATTGAAGAGACTGTCTGTCTGTGAAGGAAGACAGTCGTGAAGATCGGATCCAATGATGACACAAATGCTGTTAATGTTGTTATCCATTATAATGTCATTTATATTTGTCATTATCTTCGTGTTCATCGGTTTGTCCATTCATTTGTCCATTGATTCACTGTTTATGATGTCTAATGCTGTGATTGTCTGTGCAATTGATCCCAAATAGGCTGGTATTTGGTGTGGAAAGTGTTCTTAAGCCGATTCCGGTTCGTTAGGGAGTTATTAATGATTAACAATAATAATAGCCATCAAAATGAGGACAAATCAAGTGCTCAACACTCGAGACACAAGAAGACGAGACAACGGATCGCATCCACCAGTAGTTAATCCATGCATTCAATCAATTTTTAAAATCACTTTTTTATATATAAATTAATAATAAATTGTTTTTATTTTACATAATTTTAAAC